TTAAATTTAACATAAATGCATTTTAAATAACTTAAATAACTACATGAATTCATTTCAATGATAACTATTTTCAATGAGCCTTCTAGGACCTTCTTCTTCATAATATTTGGACCAACATAATGATCTTTTAAATTGTTGTGGTCATGACCTCATCATTCCCTCACTCTTTGAGATGATTCGTCCTCGAATCACACTTTCCTCGATCAAATGGAAATGAGTAATTATCCGACCAAATGACTTTAATACCTTCACCAAGGAGAGTAAGTGATCTCGCGCTTTGTAGATCATGGCACAACAATACCATTCCTTCCAACTGATTTTCAACCCTAGAATCACATCCATTAACCTGCAAAGAACTTAAATCAAAGGTTATGGAGTTCTCAAATTCTTCTCCCTCATTCTTTTTCTCACAAAGTTTATAAGACAATTCTTCTTCCTCATCTTCAGTTTTTTCCTCAATCTCTCCTTCTTTTTCACTCAAATATTCCTCATCTTTGTTTTCACATTTTTGTTCACACATGTTTACATTGTCATTCATTTCATTTGAGCCATCCTCGTATGACAAGGAAAAAGGTATAGAATTCTCGACCTCTTTTTGCTGCAATTTCTCTTCAATTTGTTTGGCATGGTATAGTAAAGTAAACATGCACTTGCACCGATGAGGAAGCAACCGTGCAATTTCTTTTCTAACACCATACACAAATCTGTTCTTGGTAATAACAGCTGGTTCAATCACGCCATCACGGATCATCAAATCTCTTAACTTATTGTAGAATTCTTCCACACTAAGAGATCCTTGTTGAAGTGTATTCAACTCAAAAGACTCCATGGATGATATGAAACAATGAACAATAAACTAGAAAACACAAGGAATGGCAACACAAATCTGGACAGATTTTAAGAGTGACTTTGAAGAATTTTATGGAATATTGTGGAGGATATTTTGACCCAAATTTTTCATGAAACTAAAGATTGGTAAGTTTTATACTTCCAAAAAAAAAAATTCAAAGCAATTGGATATGTGGAAGTATTTTTTTTTGGAATTTGTTCTCTCAACAGTGTAGGCTGGAATGTTGGTAGGAACTGTTCTAACAGTGGCCGAAATTCAACGAATTTTCTGTGTTTATATGAATATGATTTTAACGCAAAACTTTCAAGAAACAATAGAGTGGTAGGTTGGGTACTTTCAAAAAAAATTTCAACACAATTGGTTATGTAGAAGTATTTTTTTGAAATTTTTCTTTCTAAAGACGAACGCTGAAAATTTTCTGCAGAAACAAATGAAACAAGAAGTGGTTGGTAGAATCTTAACCTTTTTTGCGTGAGGAATGAACCCAAAGCTCTGATACCAAATTGATAGGGATCTTTTATTAATGATTTCAAGATTCAATTCACTAAAGATTCCTCCGGTTGCCCGATCTTTTTCTCACCAAAACAGCAGGAACAACAATTCCGGTTTGAGGGTGTTGGAGATGGAATTGGTTGATGTAGGGGTTGGATTTGGGATTATAGCAAATCTGAATTAGGAATTATAGTAGATTTGAATCATGCATGTGGGACCACATGATATACCATGACATACGTAATATATATATATATATATATATATATATATAGGGAAGGGTTCAGGTGCGGGTATAGCTTCCCGTGCGGTTGTGCGGTTAGATCTGAGCTGTAGATCAAATTTAGATCAACGGCTCAAATCAATAAAAATTAAAAAAACAAAACGCCTGTCCGGAAGAAGATAGCGCCTACACAAATGAGTAGCGTCTACACAAATGATAGCGTCTACACATAGCGTCACACAAATGATAGCGTCTACACAAATGAGTAGCGTCTACACAAATGATAGCGTCTGCACAACCTCACGCACATTAAGTACAAACCCCACACACATTAAGCACAGCCTCACGCACATTAAGCACAAACCACACGCACTTTAAATATTAACTCACAGATTTTAAGTTTCAAATTAAGCACAACCTCACGCACATTAAGTACAAACCCCACACACATTAAGCACAACCTCACGCACATTAAGCACAAACCCCACGCACTTTAATATATTAACTCACGGATTTTAAGTTTCAACAACTGTTGACATTAAGCACAACCTCATGCACATTAAGTACAAACCACACACACACTAAGCACAACGTCACTCACATTAAGCACAAACCCCACGCACATTAATCACAGATCCGCTCACTTTAATTTTGAACTACATGCAAAAATTACAAAATTGGCACCGCATTTTTTTAAAAAAAATTTGACAATTCTGAACGTTGATTTAAGCGAGATGAATGGTCCAGATTAAACCGCACAACCGCACCTGGGCACTCTAACCGAACCAGAACCTAATTCTATATATATATATATATATATATATATATATATATATATATATATATATATATATATATATATATATATATATATATATAGAATAAAGTTCAAATGCGGCGGGGTCTTCCCTTGCAGCGGTGCGGCGGAATTCTAA